GAGCTGAGACGGTCTTGTGAGCGCGTATTCATCATTGTCTGCAGATCTACTCGGCCGTGTACAAAACAGGGCACGGGAGACTCTCGGGACGTGGCAAGGAGGACGCGAGACCATTTTTGAAGCAGTGGAGGCCGTGCACCTTTGAGATGGGTCTTCAGGTGAGAGCAGTCCAGAGCACGCCGTGGGTGCGCGAGCAGAGTGGTACTGACAGCATGGCAGATATCGTCTCCGGCATGGTACTGCAATCTGGGACCGGACCGGGGCGCGATGCCATAGGACGATAGCAAGGAGGGATAGCGGCAGGTCTGGGACGTGCCCCACCTGATACAGGGGACGGCGAGATGTCTTGCAGATCGCGGTACCGAATGTGCGTCGGCCTGCTCGTCTGGTGGCCATGCGGAAGGTGAGCGATTGCTAATGCACGCAGCACAGACGGAACGACCACGATCAGGAGGCGCACGCGGCCGGGCGTGGTCGTGTTCGTGGTGGAAAGAGGACAAGCAGCGGGGGTGGCAGTGCCTCGGGGAGTGTCGAGACGTGTCGAGACGGGATACACAATCCGCGAGGCGCCGGCCGCCCATGCACATGCAGGTGCGAGTGCAGCATGATTCTGGTTCTGTACACGGAAATACAGATACAAGTGCTCGATGTCCACGCAATGCCGCACCCTGGACGGTGAATCTAGCACCGCCCGTACAATTACACCAGTAGACTGCCCTGGGCTGCCACCATCTCCAGCGTGCAGACTTCCCTACCACCCTACCTAGTGTGCAGACCACCCTACCACCATCCATCCTACCACCATCCGTCGCGAGTCAGTCCGTCTGCATGTGGCAATTGCGCCTGCGGTCCCCGGCCCCTCCGAGTCCGCAGCCGGGGAAAACCCGCACACCCGCCCTGGCGGCCGAAATCGAGCGAGGTGTCCGCACCGCACGATCGCAGCGGCGGTCGCCCCGGCCGTAGCGGCTCGCTCTGTCGTCAACTCCTGCGGTGGCCGCGCCCACTCGTCCCTCTGACCTCTACTACTCCCACGTTCCGGTATTCCAGGCCGCAGTTGGACATATATTTTCTCTTCTACGTACACATACTACTACGCATTCCCCTCGGTGTCCTGCCTTCGAATGCGCTCGCCACGACGCGCTATCCGGTGTGCGCGGGCACGCTGTGGCGCGGTACGTGCTCGGGACACAGACCGCCGCACGACCGACTTCACGCTCCTGGTCCCGACGCACCTCGCTGATCTACAGCGGCATCGTGCATGCAAGGTGGGCCAAGCCCGCACCCGGCCCAAAGTCACAGAGCGTGTGCTGCATACCGCACAGCCGGGCGCACAGCGCGCCCGAGCGCGGACCCGCGCCGAGCGGCAGGACGACAGGGTCTCCGACGGTGGGAACGCGCGACGGAGGACACGCGCTGTTGACCGCCGACCCGACGGTACGGGACCGCCCAATGGCGATAGACTGATTGAAGCATTTGTTGTACCGTCTTTACGGGTTGTGTGTTAGGGAGTAACGGGCGAGCTGTGCAGAGCGGTACCGGTCGGAGACAGGCGTGGAAGGGCGCCCAAGGAACCCGGGCGCAACTGGCGGGAAACTGACAGATTTGTTCTCGCGGGGGTGTCCGTGCCCGCCACATCGGTGGCCCGCTAAGGCGAATGCTGACCTTCGTCACTCCCTCCGCCCAGGAACGCGCCAGGAACCTTCGTGGGACGTCCCGTAGAATAGGGTACGGAAGGGCCATATTGAACGTCAGAGTGGGCACCGGCATAGACGGCGCGCCAGTAATAACCGCTGCTCAGTAAGGGACAGAAGCCTCCCGGGTTAAGATTTCATGTGAACGCAAAGGCAGCCTGGGGAGACGTCTTGATCATCGCGGCCAAAGGCCTGACAAAAAGCATGGATGGATGCTCACCAGGTGTACGTACGACCTCCGACGCCCAGGCAATCGCCAATAGAGCGGCTCACGAAGGTATACAGCACCCGATACCGACGAACAGGATACGCATCACGATGGCGATGGACGGCGGAGTCGGGAATGTGTTGACGACGTGCATGTGCGCCCGGGTGGGGAGGCGGGCGACTCGTTTCAGCAAAGCGATGTGGACCGCAGTCGCCATGAAAATCGTCGCAGGTCTGTGCTCGCCGTTCGATACCGCCCCCTGTTGATCGTCGACTTCGAGGGAGCCGCCGCAGGCGGGATACCGGCTGTCCAGTGTAAGGCGCTCGGTATCGCCGACGGGCGGAGCATCCGCGAGTCGAACCGAGTCCACAGGCCTTACCAGTACCAGTACCAAGGTGTGGGTCAGCCGGCCTCGGCGAGGCACCATTGACCGGCGAGGGACGATGTTGAGATCGCAAGGAGTGGCTGTCTGTGAGAAGGGGATGTTCGCCGCCGACGCAATCACGCTGGTAGCGGCGAACATGGAGCGTCAAACAGACAACAAAGCCGGCGCGAAGCGGTGCAGCGTGAGAGGCGCCTCCCGACGGAGAGGATCGGAGAAGCATATACCTTGTACTGTATCATCCCTTCGCAAAACTTCGTCTGACCGGGATCGTTCCTTGCGAGAGTCGCGTGAAGTGAGGATGGATGCCAAAGTTCATGAGAAAGTAGACGGCGCCCGAAATAGTGAGGTGGCAGGAGCCTGTTCAGGAAGTGTGTCACGTTTACTAAACGTAGTATCGCCGTCTAGCGTCTCGTGCGACTGTTTCTACAATATCTGAGGGTGTGTGGTAAAGACTTGGTATGCCCAGAGCATGAATTGAGAAGAAAAGGGTGAGACATTCCACGCTGATGAGAGTGCCGACGGCCGCGGCTGGTGGCAGACAACGCTGACAAGACCACGTATGATTGCAGCCCTCATGCTCTTCGTAGATGCTTCGGTCCGAAGCGCTAACGTCAAGGCTTTGGGTGGCAATCGCGCTGTCTGTGAACGCCAGCCCATTGCGCCGGGCTCGGTAGGCTTCCTACAGTGAGATCCTTGCGAAACTCGGTCAGCCTAGGCCACTCATTGTCGCAAATCCAAGGTGTATCATTGGATAGACACTTACTAGGAAGTGCTCGCCAGCATTGACAGGGCGTTCTCCGGCCGAGCGAGAGAGTACCGCCAGGAACGTGTTCACACTCACGAGCATTATCTACCCAAGAAGATTTATAGACCCAACTCGTTTCAAGGATTAGTGGGAATCACAGAGGCATAAATCTCAGCCAGGGATTCAAAGAAGACAACAAAACGGGGTGTTCCCAAGCCAGGATGATCCCGTCGAAACTCGCGAACTTGAAGCCTGGCGAGAGGAGGGAGGACGAGGTAGACGCAGAGACGCGCGAACTACAGTCGACACCCTCTTAACCCATACCCCCCCATAACCCATAACCTGTGATAACCCATATAAGGACTTGGGCTCTCCCGAATCGGGACAGGGGGAAATCGACCCCATAACCCATACATCCTCCAGTACCCCATAACCCATACCTTTTTGGCGGCAAAAACCCATGGGTTAGGCTCACTTTGGAGATCAATTTGGGGACCTCAATGTAGCAATCGCGCCTGTTCTACCTCCATTTTCGATGACAACTGGTTTCGGCTCATATCAGGAGGGCATAGAGGTGATTGGCAGCCAATATGAACCAGCTCTGGCTATCCGCCCACATTAGCGCCGGCTCAAGCGCCCTCGAGTGCGCTAGGCGCCCGTGAGCTTACTCCGCTAGCCCATAACCTTCGAAAACCCATACCTTAGGACCCTTCCCGATAGGTATGGGTTAAGAGGGTGTCGACTGTAGCTCGAGTCGGCCTTTCGGGCCGAGGTACCACCTTCCCGCCGGTTCCCACGCTCCGGAGCGCTGCATGCGCCTCCGAGTCCGACTGCTAACGCCGTCACAACGCCCACGATCGAAGTACTCCTGCCGCCCGCAGGGACAAGCTCTCGATGAGCTCTCCACTTGAAAGTATGCAGCCGCCGATTGCTTTCAGAACAGGACCTGGTGTTGACCGTTTCAGACCCTGGAACCGCGCGGACACTTGGCAAGAAGTACATTTACGTGAATTCCAGCGTTCATCGATCATCTTCCACTGCGGTCCTATGTCAGCGACTACGATGCGCCGGGATACTCAGCACGGACAAGGGTCAACTCGACGAGTTTCTAGCAGCTACTCAATCAGGAGGCACTTCCTCCCACGTACAGTTTCGTCAGGGCAGTCGAATTGCCTCTCATGCTCTATCTAGCGCTTTCCCTATGTTGACGTCGTCTTCCGCGGACAGAGGGGCAATGAAACAGGCACATAAGGGAGCCTAGCCACCCCTCTATCTCCATAAAGTGTGATACACGACGATAAGGTGCTCTCAAGCCCACGATGTGCATGCTACGATCTGTCAATTCCCTACAACGTCGTAGTGCCCTTCCTCCGGTCATCGGTCCCGTCTCAAAGCCACGTGGGTGTTAGTTGTGACTATGCCAGAAGACGCACAGCCGTTCGCTGTCGAGCGATACCCCACTCCCGAAGATCGAAGTCGAAAGGCAAGAAGCAATGTGTCTGTCTGTGAATGTTCTCCGATGCTCCCGTAACTTCCAAAGACATCTCAGTGTCGGCACGCCCAAGCACCCCATACGATGCAGTACGTTCAATCCATGTTATTTCCTCTTACGGCCGAGAAGCCCTTGTCTGGATGTGAGGTCTCGGGTTGGCCCATCTGGACGTAGTACGAACGCACCCATCACGTGGTGCATCCAGCTTCAACTACAGTAGAACCCCGCCCGACACTACTCCGACCATGCACGACACGAGCGGCTCGGCCGCTGTACACTTCCACTTACATACGCTTGTCATTTACTCACAGGCTGAGAGCCTGGTTCAAATCCTCCTCCACAATCGCTGGTGACGGATAGTACGGCGGCATGGTTAGACATCGTTCCCACTACCGCTGCTTGGGGAAAGGATCTACGGAAAAGTATTACATCACAGACTCATCCATGCAAATTGCCATGCAATCTTGCACATCAAAAACTGAACCCTGCCCGGATTGAACGGACGACCTTGAGGATTTCCCTTCTGCGGATTACTCCGCGAACTGGAATCTCACGCGCTACCACTGTGCCAAGGGTTCCTTAGCAGCGTCTCTTTTCCAGGGCCTAATATCTAACGGTTAACTTCGCGAGTCAACGGCACTCCTACAAGCCGCCACGCGCCAACCTCACAGCGAAATGCTCTACAGCCGCTGTACAAGTTCTCGTGAAAATGCCAAGTCAAACCGCTGCGTCGCTTCCTCGAGCGCACCGAGCGCACCGCAGCAACCATACTATTGAACTTCGAGACTGAGTTCGAGCGAACGCCCGAACAGCCCTGACTTCGTCCAACGTCCCACACAATGGAAGACGAGCTTGGCGTGGGCATCGCAGACGGCGTTCAGAGGGCGCGAGGACGAAACCGGGCTTCGCGAGCCCGCGCAGCGACGGTGCGCGCGCGGCGCGGTCGACCGCCGCCCGCTGTCATCCTCGCAGCGTTCGAGCTCCTGGCGACGTACAACTTGGCCGGCGACAAATTGTCTGCAACTCGCGCCGCGGGGAATGCGTTGAATGGGTCCCGTGGCCGTCTGCGACTGCGGTAGCCTAGCACGATGGGTAGACTTGTGCCGCTGCGTCCATTGACTGTTCGAGCAACCAGGGGCAGGACGAGATGGAGACGCGCCCAAGGCACATCAAGATATCATGCCGGCAGCAAGCTGGTTAGCCGATTGAGCGTGGAGAAGCGGTACAGCAGAGATGGTAGACTTGCAGGAGTTGCGGCGACCTTACCGCCGGGCAAGAATGCTCACGGCCGATCCCCATCCTCGGCCAGGAACTACGTGTGTGGGATGAGCAGCTGCGCTGTAGATCTACAATGTTACCATGCTCGCGGTGCAGCCAATTGTGGCAGGTATATTTGAGCGACTGAAGGCCGTGCATCCAGAATGTTGATAGCGCCAAAGGTGTACTAGGCAATTGGTACATTGGTCGAACGCCCCGTAGATGTTCTCTATCATAGCACGGTGCAAGTTAGTATTCTAGGCCAGATGTGGTATCGCCGATGGACAACGGGACAGACTCACAGAACGAGTCCTGGACGGGAAGTACCAGACCATCCCGCGAGATCTCCAGGATCCCTCGGAAGTAGAACCCCATATCGCCCAAAGCGTCGGACTTGTGCACCGCGCGTTTGGTGCGTCGGCAGGGGTACCGCGTGCGCACGGGCTCATTCCATCCCCGCCATCTATGTGGCCACAACGCTTCGTCCTCCTCCAGGCGATCGCTGTCCGGATGGGAAGGATCAGGGACACCGGGGCCGGACGGAGCGAGGTCGACGGATTCGTATATCGTGACCTCCGTCACCATGGGATCCTCCAGCTCCCGCTGCTCCGGCGACGCGACCCGTTCGATGGCGACCTGGGGGCCGAACACGGTGAACGCCGCGGTGATGCATCGGGGTCGAAGGTGCATAATGTAAGCTGGATGGACGGCGTCGTTGTCCCATCCGGCGGCCCATCCAGCATGCCAGCGTGAGCGAGTTCAAGCTTGTAGCGCAACTCGACAACATCTCGGACGAGGTTGCGGAGTACATGTCCGGTCTTCGTGGAGGAAGGTCCCGGGGAGAGTCAAAGTCAGCTTGGGACGCCTACGACGGCTGTGCGATGGCACTACGGGCGATCGATGCAGGTTCATCAGACCTACTTTGGTGCATGCGAGGATGCTCGACCCATCCAGCTGTGAGATGATACGTATTCTGCAGATCGACGGGTAGGAGGAGGAATCTGGTGAGTTCCCGCGCCCAACCAGCCGACAGTGAGATCGTTAGCTAATCGTATACGTTTCGTAATGCAGGATACCCGTACCCTGTGTACTGGTAGATATTGCGAGATGCGCCGAGTTAATGGGCGAGAGGAAGGTGATGCTATCGGGCGCCTTGAATGCATTCCTCGCTCGTCCCGTCATAGTTTGCTCAATGCCAGCGGCTGAGCACCTGCACTTGTGTCTGGAAATGGATCTGAACGCGAGCAGCCCAAGTGCCCAACCGCACTAAAAGCCGCTTATCCATGCTAGGGCAGGGATATACAGACCAAGACGCAGAAAGGCTTCTATGGATTCAACCGTCCGGCACAATGCATCTTGCAGAAGCGCGGTCTAGAAATACAAATACGAGTACAGTCCACCAGTCTCGAACGGAAGAGTATAAAAATATCAAGTATACCGACGCACCAAACCGAACGCATCTCGACCACTCCACGGTCAAATATCGAACCGCCGCACCTCTACCTCCGACCCATGCGAGCTCACGATCCGCCGATCGTCGAACACGACTGACCCGCGCACACCCAACGCAGCGCGCGCCTTGACTGCCGCCAACGCATCGTCCTCCTCGTCATCGCTGTCCCCGGATGGCCCGGTGATCCCAGGTGCGACCTCCGTCCCCGTGCCTGCCTCGAGGTCCCACACCCAGATGCTGCCGTTCACCCCGAGGCTGACGCATCGTCCGTCGGCGAGAGCGAGCGTCGAGACGGGCCCAATTTGACCATGAAGGGTGCGTACGAACGTCAGCTTCGGCGATGACGCGCCCGAGGGTAGGTAGAGCCGATAGAGCTGCAGGCCCGAGGCAGTGTGCAGGCTGGAGGAAGTATATGACGTCCCGGACCCGGATGCCGACGACGGGGACGAAGATGGCGTCATCGATGGTGACGAGAAGGAAGCAGCTGCTGGGCCACCTGCGGACAGCTCAGGGACATCGGAGGGCAGTGGCTGTCCGGGAGCGAGGACGACCCACTTGCCGTCTGTCTGCGTGTCGGCGACGCGCGCGACTTTGCGGCCCCACTGCTCGCGCACCACACGCATCTTGTGCTCGTCGACCCAGCCCTGAGGGACGTCAATCGTCCGAGTCGTGCGCGTGCTTGTGACGGTCATGCGTGAGTCCTCGTCTCCGTTTACAATGAGCTCCGTGGCGCCCACCGACCAGTGCGCGGGGTACACCGGGGTTGCGTAGGCGAGCACCAGTTTGTACGTCAACGGGGCTAGACAGGAGAGGACGAGCGAGCTGGGGGGATACGACGTGAAGGACGTCAAGGTCTGGGTATGTCGCACAGAGTCCGAGCCCAGGTCGTAAAGCGAGAGGTGAAAGGACTGCGATAGCGTCACCAATAGTGGGTGGTGGTACACCGCCTGGATGATAGGTGCCGTGCGAGCACTTCGTCCCGAGGGCTGGTAGGTGAACACACGGGAGGAGGATTGAGGCGCCTGGTGGTCTATGCTGAAGAGCGAGAATTCTCCGGTGGACAGGAAGCATACGAGCTTTCCATGGTGTCCTGATATAGGCGGCGACTGATCCAAGGCGAGGGCAGTGATATTAGCGGTAATGTTGGACCTGCTCGAAGGGCAAGGAAGGGTATGGGGTGCATGTGTAGGAGACGTCAACAGAATCGTAGGCACCACACTCCGGCGTGAGGAAGCCATGACCGTCAAATTACCCGCTAGCAGGAGGTGGGTCTGGTCATCGGCGGGGGCGCGGGAGAATAACCGGGGCGTATTGCCCAGCTCGAAATGAGAAAGGGCGCAACGTCCTGAATTACAGCGTGAGCGAGAAGTAGCCCCCGAAGATGACCATAAACGAACCTGTTCTCCAGTTGGAGCTGATGCGATACATCCACTTCCAGTCCTTTACGCCCTCCGGTTTAGCCCTTCCGGGTAGCGGCTTAATTTCCCTGCCGTCTCCTCTCCCGATGAAGCCCCTTGCGCCTCTCAGACGTGTCCTGCCATACTCGCAAATATACAGCGACTTCCACAGCTGAGCGCCCTCGGTCGTCAGCGCCCGCTTTCTCGGACTACCTCCTGAACGGCTCGGCACACACCTGATTATCGAGCGATAGCCTGGCCCAATTCCTGTTGGTCCGCTGTACCGCACAAAGATCTTCAGGGGCCAAGTAGGAGAAGATGAAGAGGATTATTTCGTCGGATAGAATGGCGTCATAGAATGGGCGGGAATGGACGTCAGAGATGGTAGACGAGGCTGTATGAACTCTTTTCGATGGAGGTAGAGGCGCTGGCGAGAGAGATCGCTTCGACATAACGAGTAGCCGCCCCGCAGTACCTGACTCGCCTCAAACGCGCCTCTGAGCCGTCGAATTTGAGTGTGGGCGAGCGTCGAGCACTGCAAGCAAGACGACGAGAGGGATGAAGGAAGGAGGAGTTCCTAGGCGCTCGCTATGAGTTTGTCATGTACACTGGAAAGACCGGCCCGGACGGCTGAGTACTTAAGCTCGCTGCTCCGATGCATTCGGGTATGTTGATGCTCCGTAGTCCCATTATCACGCCTCTAGTGCCAGCAGTTGCCTGTTCTTTGCTTGGTAACTACAGTACTAGTAGTACTGATTACTCTCGAGTGAAGGTCATTTCATCTATGGAATTCAGAAGAGGCACAAGTGAGCTTTCAACGCCGATGTGCAGCGGGACAGATTATCTTTTGACAGCGGCTCCTCGTCTCATTTCTCATGATTCACCGCAACGACGAAGACGGTCACCATTGTAACAACCCGGGCTGTGCTACATACCCGGAGCATCGACAATTCTTCTTGTGCCTTGGGAAATATCTTTCAGGCTTGACGCGATGTACACAGCTGCTTCGATGCCAGTCAAGTCTTAATGGGCGTATATAGCGAAGCTCTTTATCTCTCAAGGATTGAGACGCTGGTCGTCGACGGTCTCGAACCCGGGAGGCCTAGCGTCAACGAATGAGTTTGCCGTCCGCCCCGGGACCCTCCGGCTCGAACGACGGCGTGTCATTAATTGTCATGACGTTGCCTGACAACCGATGACTACCATACCTCAAGTCTGACAACCGAGAACCGCCATACCCCAACTGACGCCCATTGGTGGCCTACATAAAGCAGTCCATCCAGATAGGAGCTACTCATCCTATCATATGCATCTCCAGGCTTCAGCGCGATGGAAGAAGTGGAGAGTCGGGCTCTCGGCTCGTCTCTTCGCTGTACGTGGACTTCGCAAAACCCGGCTGTTCGGTAGGAGGGGGCAGGGAACCCAAGGGCCTGCAGGTGAGAATTTGTGTGTAGATCAGCGTTCGCGATAT